GACCTCCCTTAGCGAAAGGGACCTTTATGCGCCGTGTGATTACGATCTCCAGCTCTTTTGATATAACTCTCAACTACATGCTCGGAACCATGAAAAAGAAAACGCACACACACGCAACGTGTCACTTGTCGATGTCAGGTGTAAAAAAAACGGAATACCGTCGACATGGACGGATTCAGACTAGTTCGCTTCCCTTAAATTAATACCCACCAATTAGAAGTCTCTTTCTGTTGGTTCACTTGATGCTGGGATAGCATGCACGAATTGCGCTACAAGAATTAGGTGAGGAAACTCGTGCTGGCGCGAGTTCCAACACTCCAGAGGGCCGAATGCAATCTCCTCGATCCACTTATAGGCGAAGAAGTCCCTCGCCAGTCTTGGGTAAGTTCCTTTTAAAAAAGTAATTAGTTATAGTTACAGTTACTTTCATAAAAAGTAGTGAAGTTACCGTTACAGTTACCGCAACAAAAAGAGTAACTCGTTGCAGTTACTGTTACTTTTAGAAAGTCACAACGTTACTTTTTAGTTACCTTTTTTCTATGACGCGAAGAATTTAGGAAAAAGTAGAAAATGCCTTTCAGCAAGTTTTATTGTATTAAATTAAAAATTACATGTTTTACTTGATATTGTAACTTAGCAGCAGTTGCTTCTCGAAATTAGTTTCTGAACGTTTCCCTCGTTTGATGGCGAACACGTCCCTGCCCTTGCTGAACAGACCTCGCGCACCAGAGCAACAAGCAAATCCCGCGCAAACAGCAGTATATGTTGTCTCAACTGTTGACACCACGCCGGAGTAGTGGCGCAAATCAAAATACGAAACATGCGCAGTGCGGAGTAGTGGCGCTAATCAAAATACGAAACATACGCAGTGCCCTCCGTGTGTATTGTTGTTTCACGGCTGATTCACCCGCTTAAAAACCGTTTGCGGAGAAAAAGGAACCGCAGCATAGGTAGTGCCTCAATATAATAAAATGTAAGTGTTCAGACACAACGTACATGCGCATGCGTAAAAATTAAGGCTCCTCTTAGTAAAGATAACTAAAGTGTTTTTGTTTTGTTCTTTAATTACATTTACATGTGGGTATATTCGCGTCGTGACTCGCGCGAAAGATCATATTCGCAACTTTGTGCAAGGCCAACTTGACACTCGAAATGTCGGAACAGACAATTTGGAAAGTGCAAGGAATAGCTATTTTGTACGATCGTTCAGTGATATTGATATATATCGCGGTTTCATGATCACCGCGGTAACATATGCTGGTCTTCCACCGAAAATTCTCACGTAGACGGTTTGACCTGCCGAATAATCTGCCATTACTCTGTCCGTCGGAACTTCTCGGTCTTCGCCATGTCGACGAGCTTTGCTTCATGAGATCGAGAGGTGTGGCGATCCGTCGGTCGAACATTGTTTCGGCGGGTGTTTTTCCCGTGGAAGTTGAAACCGTCGTATGATGCCTGAACAAGAACCTGGCGATTCTGCACTGGACTGTTCCTTCCTTGAGTTTCAGGAGGGCCTTTTTTGTTTCGCCCACCATACTCTCCGCTTGCCCGTTTATGGCCGGATGATATGGAGCGCTGGTGTAGTGTTTTGTGCCGTTTCTCGTTAAAAACGCATCCATTTTGTTCGACACGAAATTTGTTGCGTTGTCGGAGAAAAGGATTCTCGGTACTCCAAAAGCTGCAAAGGTGGAGCGAAGGGTATCGATGATGCGTGTAGACGTCGTGGAGTGCACCGGTTTCACCTCCAACCACTTCGAGTAAGCGTCGATGGTAATGAGGTACCATGTCCCGTCGATCGGTCCGGCGAAGTCGATGTGAATTGACTCCCAGGGTCGAGTGGCAGGTGACCAGTCGGGCGCTGGTACCGTAGACGTGGCCCGAGGACAGATGCACCGGGGACAATAATGCTGACGTCCAGAACAGAGACACCGTGGACAATAATACGGACGTCCAGGACAGAGACACCGTGGACGACAACGCGGACGTCCAGGCAAACCCCGGTTCAAGGACTACCCGAGGGGGTCGCCGGATGAAGCAGCCAGCACAGTTTAAAGACTATGTACTGGACGTTAATAGACCGATCTTACCAGCTAGTTCGAGTACGCCACCGCTGCCGCCATGCATTGTGGGAGCTGTAGTCTTTCGGCACGTGCGACAACCACGCTGGAGGTCTGCACGAGCAGAGCACGAGGCCGCATGAGCTGTCTCGTGAACTGGTGTCTGCATCCTATGAACTACAGTTATGGCGGCGTCACGCATGCGTGGAACGCTTAGTGAGATCGGTCTATCAAGAAGGGGGATACGATATATATCGCGGTCAAGCAAGACGAAGACGAGGCTTAAGAAGAGCACGCGCGCACCCGCGATAGAGCTCAGACGGACTGATTCCAAAACGCCTTGAGCAATGGCTAGCTTCTTTTCAACTTGAACGGTACATAGTGTAAATGAACGCAGATTTAACAGGAAAAGTTGTATTAGATATATCATTCATACAAAAACTGGAAAGTAACGACAAAGGTAACGTCATTTCTTTCATTGTTACCCGAGAAAAAGTACAGTTACAAGTTACATTTTCAAAAAGTAACCCGTTACAGTTACAAGTTACCAAAAAAGCAGCGAAGTTACAGTAATCCGTTACTACCCAAAACTGCTACTTGCAGGCTTCTTCTACTTTCTTGTGGCTTGTACGTTTTGGGTTTTATTTACCCCCCCCCCCCCTCTCCCAAAGAACGTTTTCCGCTCTTTCTCTGCCAAACAAGAACACGCGTTGCCAGGACGACTGATGCTCCTGCATTTTTTACTTTCTCTAGGGACAGCTTTATTGGCGAAGTGGACCTTCTAAAGTTTTAAAGAAACTTTTGGTGAGGATCAAATCTTTCTTCACGTAAAGAACAAATTTCTCCCCATTGACACCTTTTATCTATGGGAGTAGCTTGCTCGCGCAATACATTCGATGATGCACTTCATAGTATCGCCCATTTAATCACTCTACACCGTGCGGTCGCACACGTTTATAGGCCGCCTCGTCAAAAATGAATATCCGGAACAGCGGATATCCGCATCCGATTCGCAATCCACCAAATCTGATTCATTTTTATCCGCACCCGCCAGTTTACTGCGAATCATCCGCAGATATGAAGAGCTATAGCAATTATTATTCAGGTTGCTCAAAATTAAGTTTTAAACATTAAATTAAAAAAATTAGGGAATGCACGTTAAATCCGTTTTTGCACCTCAGTTATGCTCCCAGGCGGACACAAAGTGCAACCGTAGCAAGTTCACAATTCAACTTTTTAATTGATGTAACTTGGTATGTGTTTCATTCTCTAGAATTCCCGTAACAAGCTCCTCTATGGAGATATCAGTCTTTAAATTCGCCACTCAATTCGGCTAATTACGCGTACAAAATCGGCAAGATCGGTGCGTAAACCTCTTCGGTGACAGGCAAGTTGTTGCGTGGGACATTCCGTATACCGACGGGGCGGACCTGATAACAGTTATTCGCCAGCGTTTGCAATTTAATGGCGGACGCTTATTGCGCAGATTGGCGGGTCAAAGGGGCACTAAACCATTTGCTGCGATAGTCTATTCATGGTTACAACTCAATATATGGACTTTAACCATCCCAAAAGCCAAACATTACATTCATGCGTGGCCGATCTTTTAAATTAAAATATATGTCAAAAGATCTATTACTTCGGAACTATTTCGGACAACAAGATGTTGCCGTCGCACTAGAAAGGGCAGAGCTTTAAGCTTTCTGCCCTTTTTCCGCGTTCTTTCTTGTCCAATGGCGCTATCTGGTGTCGATCTTTTGATACCGATTTTAATAGAGAAATCGGCCACGCAATAATGTAATGTTTCCCTTTTATTTTACTTTGTTTTAGGTTGATTACAGCCCCTAGACCGAGTTATGCCCCTAAATAGACTACCGCAGAAAGTGAGAACGATGGCGGGAGGAGAGGCTGAGCGAAACCTGCAGTCGACGCTTGGAGACGGTCGACGCGGCCCCCAATCGAGCAGTTGGAATCACTCTCAAATCCGGGCACACTACTCGGCGCCGGCCGTATTAAACGGGATCTTGTAGCGTGACCGATAAAACAACTCGTGGAAACCGCAGACATAAAAAAAAAGAAACGGCTGTTTAAATGTAATTAAGATAAAAAAATACACCAGTAATTAGTTATATGAAAATCGCATCATATGTTTTAAGTTTTCCGATGAAAAAAAAGAAAGAGTAAATTTCTGTTTATTTGAAGGATGGTACCCCATCCGCTTCTGAGTGAAAGGCGCAGCTATATGGGGTTCCGATTTCACCAGCATCGTGAGTAGTGTATGACACTATGGAACGGTGGTACCATTTCATGCCAACCATAAACGAAATGACGTCGCACCGTTTTGTAAAAAAAAAGATATATATATACATTTTTAATAATCGCCGTGGCGCGGCGCGGCCATTTATCGGCAGCGTTAAAGCCACTGCCCACTGGATTAAGTTATCGCGCGTAAAAGTAAAAAGCACCCTAATTTACGATTACTTACGTTTCATTGATATAAGGTTATTCTCAGAGCGTATCTATGCGGCGTTTCAGCATGACTTGGCAAACCTGAAAGCTACAGCATCCATGAATGAGCCGATCAAAGCGACGATGCGAAGAACGTAATATCTCTCCACACGATAGGTGCACCTTATGTTACTATGTCACGTGGCCTGCATTGATTGACCGCTGCTTTTACCGTTTGTCAGGGTAAAAGCAACGGCTAAAACAAAATATAATCACCTACAATAAAAAAACAAAAACGCAGGACGTGGTTTTTAATATTCTCATTCCTCGCTTCGTTCTTCGAAGTTTTTAGTAATCGGTCAATTCTGCAATGTGATCGGCTGCGGACACAGTGACTATATAGTCGCTCAAACTCGGCAAATGTTCGGTGTGCGTGAGTATATGCGTGACTGCGACGGAACACGAGACAAAAACGAAATCAGGAATCTGGCTTACGTCATTGTCGTCCAGGAGGCTGTACACTTCGAGCCTGTCCAGGCGCACCGAGCCGTCAGCCGGCGAGAAGACCCTTCCGGCGGGAATGGCCTGGTTGGCCCACAGACGCACCTTCATGTCGTACGGATGTCCTCGCGACACGCTCTCCTCTTCGTCCAGGTCGCTGTCGTGCGGCTGGTTCTCTTCGGCACTTAGCACCAGGCTGAACTCGGAAGGAAGGAGGACGCACGTCTCCATGCTGGAGTCGAGCTCGGCGACGTAATTCCCTGACTGGACTGTCCGGTCGATCCAAGTTCAGAAGCGCCTATCATGGTTCATGAGGCTGTCCAGCCGAATCATTCCTGGTGAATAGTGTCGTTGAAGACTGGACGTGGAGACGGATCAACGTAGACCGAATGTGCGGAGTTCTGATGAATGGGGGTAAAATATATTCGGTCGTTGGCTTTCTCCGATGGTAATCTGTCAATCGACTGACTCGAGGGTCACTTGCCTTAGACTACTGGTCAATCGAATTTCTCGCAGATAACTAAATAATCTATAATAAAATGCATTTGGATAATCACGGTGAGCCTTTCATCGGCTTCCACAGACTAGAATTTTTTTGATTGGAAGTCCTCTGTCAGTTAAGAAGTTTGCTTCTTAGGAATGCAGAGAGTCGACGTTAAGGCAGTCATCACAGGCGTCTTTGGTTTCAAGTAATTGTTCGATGTCGGAGCTTACAATGTAATGTTAACTATCACGGAACGCGTTACCTGCTAATTAGCAGGTAACACAGCGGGACAGAAATTATGCAAAAGGTATACGAAGTTAGAAGAGAAACACACAGGCTCACTATACGTCGCCGTCGTACAACGCCTGCATCGACGGTTGCAGAAGTAAACAGAAGAGACGGGAGGAGCGCGCCGTTTTCGGGGAACCATCGATATCACCAAGACCGATTTCGCCGTTGAAAACGAACGTGGATATATCCCAAGTAGGCAATGCCGCCTCCAGCGACCGCTTCACGTGTTGCCATAAGAGCTGGAAACCCGGCAGACGACGGAGCGACGAGCAGACGACGTGCGCTCGCGTGTCGTCTGCTAAAGATTCGGTGTGCTCGGAAAGGAGGCTAGTAAATGATGGTGATGCTGATGCATCGCCAGGGGCAGGTGATTGGTTCGAGGCACAGGAGCCTTCTGGAAGAATCCGTTGCCGAGAGAAGGAGCGGGGGTTCCACCGGTCCACGGACCGGGGGAGAGGGAACCTCTTCCTCTCTCTTTCTGCCCGAAGGCGATGAGGAAGGGCGAGAAGGGACACCAGGTTGTAATTTCGGCAGTTTCGGCCACGTGGCCCTGTGGGGCGTGAAGAAGCAGAAGTGAGGGGGTGGGGGGGGGGGGGGGGGGGGGGGGGAGTTAAGAACTGTGACGTCACGGGAAGCCTGATGTGCTTCTGGTTGAAAGATACGATGATGCTGTATTCGCCCCATCAGTTTGGGTTGGTGCAATCGTTTTGCCTGAAATTATGGTTAAGAGGTAATATCAATAAAAAATAAAATAAGAATAAATGGGAGGACCCTCGACCCCATTCAATGCAAGGCGTGATTTTACTGTCCTTTCTGAAACAGACTAATGTGACTTGTATTTCGTCAGCTGAAGCTATCGGTATTTTAATTCTGCGTGCTTTAAAATTTCGATGTTTAAAAATGTGTATGTGAACGGGATTTATCAACCATGAGTTCGTGTGTCAAAGTCCAATTATGTGTTTAGTTGTGTTCGTGTATCTGATCTGTGTCTGTTATGAACAGGTAAAATGTTCCAGGAAGTGTAAAATCTTTTTACTGAGGTTTAAAGTTTTTTTTTAAATATTGTGGGATTCAGGAATTCAGAGAGTCATCGTCACTTCCAAGTTATAACAAAAACTGAGTGATTTTGTAGCGACTTAAAAAGAAAGATACCAAGCCTGCATGGCCCTTGCTACGTTACTTAGCCCAAATATTTTGCGAACAAATACATTGCCCCTCAATTAGCGTAATTACAATGTTCTCCTGTAGGCCCAGGTCGTGAACAATCAATCTCTGGAATAAGCGTCGCTTGTGGCTGGTTTGATGAAAGAACACCATTTCGCTAGAGCTGACCACGGGAAAATATCGCTTATTCAATTAAACTCGATGTATTGAACATTCTTATTCTTGGTTATTTTCTCTCTCGACGCTGTTGTCTTCTGACTCGCATTTCTTGAACAGCATAAGGAGCGGACAAATATGTATTATAATGAGAGTAAAAGCTGACAAATACATTAATGCGAGCGATTAAAAGTGCAAAAGCACTTCAGTGCGGAAGGTAATTTTGTTATAAATATAAATAAATATAATACAAATATATAAAATAATAATATTATAGATACCGAATTATTTTAGGTTGGAATAACATACCCTTACATGTAATTCAGTGATTAAAAGGTAGTCATGGGAAGTAACAACTTGGCAGAGTTGAGCTGCGGGTACGCTCCCCTCCTCTTCAGTCAGTCGCAGAGCGAGCTGCTCTTCAGCATGTTCCCAGCTGTATCGGCCCCGACAAAGGCATCTAGGTAACTCCACAGGCCTGACAGCAAACAAGGAGGCAGAGGTCACTTTGTGCTGCTAAAATAAGTCGAACCTTTGATTTGATCGTACGTCCCGTTGAAGACGAGTGAGAATAAGTGAGTTATCCAATGTATAAAACGGAGGAAATAGAAAACGCCATCGCAGGCACTGCACAAACACATCGTCAGAAGTGCAGAGGAAAAAATAACAATACTAAAAAGTAAAAAAAAAAAAAAAAAAAAAAGACGAGGCGTATCATAGCGCGGCTTTTGAACAAAGTCGGCGCTACAAGCACGACAGCGTGAACATCGTTTTCATGAGTACTAGCGCGTGCACACGACAACAGGCCCATCCAACGCATACTGTATGCCTACATATAAAAAAAAAGATACCGTAAAAAAAGTTAGTTAAAACATTGCATTACGTGAACTATTTCGCTTTTATAAAAGAAGTAACCCGTGCCTGATGTTTTTTTTTTTTTTACATTGCAGTATTTTATTTATGATTTCTCACGGTCTTTAGACACAGTTAAGAATCTGATTATAAATTTACGACAGATGCCAGGCTATAAAATGGCGTACTTACTGCAAATTACACGATCTCGAGCCGTGAAACTCTAATTTTAAAATTTCACGATATATCGTGGAAAACGTTTTTTTACTTAGATTTCTCGGAAATTTCGTAATTCCTGCAATTACCGTAAAGAGGCTGTGCAGAATGCAGCTCCACGAATTTGAGGTAGAGGCTTAGTACATAAAGGCTGCATAAAAAGATGATGATGATGATGGCGTATAAGTGGACACAGGAGCGGATTTAAGGAGGGGGGGAGGGGGTTAGGGAGGATTGGCCGCCCTTCTCCTTACCTCCTAAAAGCAACCACATTGTATGGAAAAAAGAAATAAACTGCATCAACTTTTTTAGGAAGAAATATAAAGATTTTGGATATTTGGCAGATGTTAAGCCGACGGAATGAAATAAACGATTTTCAATATATATATATATATATAGGGTGTTTTTTTATTATACATTTGTTTACAAAAACCGTGAAAGCTACAGTAATGTGGTTTCTGCAGGTCGGCCAGGTGGACATTATGTGGGTGGCTAATCTTTGCGATAAGTCGGCTAATTAATTAAAGTTCGTTAATTGAATTTTTAATTTGTGAAAATAGACATATAGTTCTAATTAGAAACTTGCTGAGCATCATCGAAAACCCCTATATCTACTATTTTTAGCAGGATATAACGCCGGGGCAGCATTTTACGGTGTTCTGTAACAACGCTTCATTTGGACGCGTTTCTAGATTTCGGTTTCTTATCGAAGCGCATCTTTGCGCCCGCGGTTCTGCTCCCTGGTGGTCGCGGCGCGAAACCACCCCCTCGCCTCCCTCGTACAATGGAGGGAATTAGGGCGCACGTGTTGCGCCTCTCGGCCACTGGGGAGCAGGACCGCGGGCGCGGTGATGCGCTCCGATGAGAAACCGAAATCTAGAAACGCGTCCAAATGAAACGATTTTTCAGAAAGCCGTAAAATGCTTCCCCGGCGTTACATTCTTCCAAAAATAGTTCATTTAGTGGTTTTCGATGATGCTCTACAAGTTCCTAATTGAAACCATAGGTTTGTTTTCAGTAATTAAAAAGTTAATTAACGATTTTAATTAATTAGCCGAGATATCACAAATATTAGCCACCCACATAATGTCCGCCTGGCCGTATAACCCATCTGCACAAACTGCATTAATGTAGCTTTCACGTTTTTTTTTTAACAAATGTGTAAGAATAAAAAAAAACTATATATATATATATATATATATATATATATATATATATATATATAAGAAACAAACAATAATGACCAAAAGTTGGATAGCGTGCCCGCTTTCTGGCGCGATAGCTCGGCGGCCTTGACTGCGCCGGAAAAGGCAGACGGATGGCAGGAGGACCCTGTTTTTTGTTTTGCGTATCATCGCTTATACGTTCATCGGAAACTGCCCCAACTCCTCGGTCGCCCGAATTAAATGACGCGCCGATTAAACGGAATAAGAAAGATGCGTTACACTCCGTTTCACATTAAAGGTCCGCGCGCGGCCGTATGCCGATCCGATGGAGCAAAGATCAAGCAGCGCTAAAAGCATATTGTAACGGCGGTCGTCGTCTTTTTGACTTTACTAATACATGCTAAAACAATCACGCGCACTTTCTGCGCAGTGATCCTGTGCCTTTTGTTATTGTTGTTTATTTTTGGGTGTTATTCTTATAGCCGGCGACAGGAAACGCGCAAAAAACGGCGAGTGACGTGACGATGCTCTCTCGGCGGTGCGTGAATGGCTGCGTCGGATTATAGCGTCGGCTGCAGTAGGATTTGTTCTGAAACGGACTACAAATAAACCGATCACTGATCTGGAAACTTGGCTTGTTTCTTCTCTTGTAAATTCTGTCAGAATATACGACGCTAATGTGAATAAAAGTAAGAAAAAAAAAAGTAAAACAAAATCCCAGCAAATTCGATAACTCTTTTAAAAAGCAGATGTTACTGCGGATTTTACTTTCTTCTACCAAGCGCCATTGACGTTGCGTTTTTTTATTTTTTTCGGTTATCAAATGGCATTTGTTTAGGTCTAGCGTAGAAATAATGTTCTTAGTTAATCCCGTTACTGAAGTAGGAGTTCGAAGCACACGC